AAATATAAATTTCCAAATTTTAAAATACTAAAAGATTCAGGTTGCAAAGATTTAAGAATAAGAAAACGAGAATTTTCTGCAAGTGATAACTTGCTTTCGCTGGAAATAATCAGTTCTCCAATTAAATTTTCTTGTAAAAGCAGTTGATTTATACCGGAGACTCCTCCTATATTTAGGATCATGTTTGATCTGGTTGTAAAACTAGATTATTCTCTTGTAAAACTTTCTTCTAGATAGTTTACAGCTTCTATTTTGCCCTTTAAAGGTTCTCCCTTATCTCCTGATACAGAGAGGAATATAATCATTTAAATTTTCTTTACGTATTCCACCTTACCCCCTCCGCCTTTTCCCCTCCACCCCCTTCCCCTTCNTAGATAGTGGGTTCGGTGCGCACTGCAGTGATCTGCATCACTCTGACCGAACAGATAGATAGATAGATTGATAGATAGATAGTGGGTTCGGTGCGCACTGCAGTGATCTGCATCACTCTGACCGAACAGATAGATAGATAGATTGATAGATAGATAGTGGGTTCGGTGCGCACTGCAGTGATCTGCATCACTCTGACCGAACAGATAGATAGATAGATTGATAGATAGATAGTGGGTTTAAGCAGAGATTGAATTAAAATTCAGCGAAGTTATTTGCTTTAAGATGAGAATCATCCGTTAAAAGCTAAAATTGTTTAGACAAAAAAAAGCGCAGCCTACAGTCACAACCAGAAAACTCTGGAATAAGAAGACGACTTTTAGACTCAAGTTATAACTTTAAATAGTTCAATATACCTGGGGTACAGCAATTCTGCAGTGTTAACGGACGCATTTCACTTAATTTATGATTTAATAAGTGTCTAGTAAAACTATTTGCTTAGTAACAACATCAAATACACTGTAGTATTGCTATAAAGTCGTTTTCCTATTCCAGAGTTTTCTGGTTATTACTTTAGTATCTCCAAAAAAAGCAGAAGCACTGCGAACACTTCGGGTAAAAAAAAAACTTATTATACAGACTTAAAAAGGTGTAATTGAACCCATCCAGAATCAATATTTTTTTTCCATACTTTTTTGATTTAAGGTCAACGAAATTAAGTTCATACATCGTGAACCTTCCTGGATCTGATTCTGAACCTATGAAAAAAAACATTATTTGTTAAATTCTCCAAATAAATGGAGGGATGGTTCCTCAAAAAAATGTTTCTTTGAAATAAACATTTTCCAAAGACCTAAAAATCTCATAAATAATTAAAAAAATAAAAAGGCTAGTTTTTTCCAGGACAAAAAGTATTTTCACTAAAATAAATTAGTCCTCAAATTCAATTCATTTTGTGCAAGAAGAAATCAACCATGCATTTATATTACTGTAAAATTCTGTTCATTTTAAATACCACCAGACCGACTTAAAGGAGCTAGAGCAAACTGTGCAGTACAGTACACATACAGACTGTATAATGCAAAATGGAACATTACACTAAATGAATCAGTACATTGTAGGGAGATTCTAGTGATATTAGATACAGTACCTTCTAGGGAGATTCTAGTGATATTACATACAGTACCTTCTAGGGAGATTCTAGTGATATTACATACAGTANTCTATCTATCTATCTATCTATCTATCTATCTATCTATCTATCTATCTATCTATCTATCTATCTATCTATCTATCTATCTATCTATCTATCTATCTATCTATCTATCTATCTATCTATCTATCTATCTATCTATCTATCTATCTATCTATCTATCTATCTATCTATCTATCTATCTATCTATCTATCTATCTATCTATCTATCTATCTATCTATCTATCTATCTATCTATCTATCTATTCATCAATCCATTCATCCATCTATCTATCTGTCTATCTAATTTGTATCTATTTATCTATTTATCTATCTTTCTATCTATCTATATATCTAATCAATATATAATATATAATAACTTGCTTCCATAAATATGTATCTATTAATCTTTCTGTTGTATGTTATATGTATAGTGTAAATTAACGTTGTGTAAAGTTAAAATGCATTGTTTATAGATATCTCTATATATTTGGTTTTATTAAAAAATCGTCAAAACGAATGAATGGGCTGAACCAATCAGGCTCAACAGTATTGAGTTTTATACTGCAAACACTGATTTTATAATCCCTTATCAAACTATAATTTTTTAAAATCTATTAGTCTCAGATGGAAATATCAAAAGTTTACAACAAAGAAAAAGGCACTGAAAAAAATATTGATTTTGTGGCCAAAATAAAATTCCTTTTGTGCTGGACATCACATGAGTATTACGCCAGGAAAGGTTTATGCTTCCAAAAAATCCTCCAATTGAAAATTTGAAGAAGTTTTTGTGATTGACCATTTGACAACACAATATTTTTTTTTTAATAATCTTTTTTGTTTGTTTATTTTCTTATGGTTTTTAACAATTTTTTTTCGATTTTGATGGTTTTTATATCGTTAGAACTGACGAGGGTCAACCCAGACCGAAATATATTTTCAAAAAATGTGGAACTAACATCTACTTTTTTTACTCTACAGAGGTTTGGTCCATTACCATCACCGAATTTTATAAATAAAGTAGCGATCTATGTTTGTCTCTTTGTATTTCCGAACATGACTCAGAAACCCCTTGACTTGACTTTTCGTTTGGGAATTAGGTAGAATCACGGGAAAGTTCTAGGTTTAAAAATTAAAAGTTGAGTTGATTGAATTTAATAGAAAAAATAATTTTCCATGAAAAACGAAGTTCCCAGCTATAGTTTTTATAAGAAAATGCATATTTAACTCTTCTAAACTAAGCTAGAGCAGTAGAGAGAGGAGTGTGTATAAGATGATAGTGTTGAATGAAACTAATTATCTATCCTTTCAATCCTAGACCTGAAATAATTTCCTGTTCTGATCCTTAAACCATGATTTGGCGGGTTTACTTTTACACCCCCCCCCTCCCGCAATCAAGATACAGTGTTATCCAGAAAGGATGATACTCCAAAGACGCGTGTACAAATTTTATTTAGTCCTATTTCTATAAAGAAACCCAGATTACAAATCAAAACTTTGCTGTAAAGAATTTGCTAATCTACTTAGAAATAAATATGTGAATCACTCCTGTATTCCATTAGCGCCTGATCCAATCAGGGTTCAGTCATGTGTTGTCTACTATGAACCAATAGAAATAGTATAGCGGTAACATCTATATTTCTATCATTCTCATTATCCAATAGAGATATGAATCCTTCAATCGGCGCTATCAGTAAAAGGAAATATTTCATCAAGGTACGACTCTTAAATCTTTATTATCTAATGTGGTTTACTGTCAATTTTTCCATTGTTTAGTCTGTATGTGTACTGTGCAGCTTACTCTAGCTGCTTAAAAGTCGGTCCGATACTTGAAATAAACCTGAGTTTACAGTGAAGTGATGATTTTGTGAATATATCAAATTTAGAATTAAACTAATTATATGTCGTATTCGTATAGACATTTTCTACCTGCGGCAGTTATCATTCTAGCGCAGACTTCTATTCTCTGGATTTCCAAAATACTGTCTGCTTGTTATTTATCTCCAAAATATTTAGAGTTTTGGCAAGAATTAAATTTTGAAACACTTTTTTTCATTCATTGAATTGAGCAATTGAAAGTGAAAGCACTGTAAAATTACATATTTTCAATAGCTTTCATTGTCACTTAGAAGGCAGTAAAAGACAAAATTTTAAATTGTCTTATATGTTTCTTGGACACCTTTTACATAAAATCCTAGATGGGATAAAACTTAAAACTAAACAAAGTGCAACAACAAAATAGATATGTTGTGTTTATTTGTATGTATGCAAAGTACCTGAAAGTAGTTCAAACTTTTTTAATTCATAAAATACAAATTCATGGATGATTTATACTTCTACAAAACGTTTTGAGGAAAAAAGATGTCATTTGACATTTATGCTCTTTTAAGTATCAAAATTTCAAAAAGATTGAAAAATTGTTCTCTGTATAACTTAAATATGTGCAAAATACTCAAAAACCCTGCATTTTATAAGTTAGATTTTAAAATCAGCCTTATAAACTCTTTTAAAGGGAGTGACCGGCTATGTAAGGTAGTTGAACTGAGTATGCAGTGTTGTGGAAAACTTCTTTCGGATTTATTTGAGACATATTAAACTTTTTAAAGATCTGTAATACCTGAGTTTGAGCGCAAATTCGACGTTCAAAACTCGAATTATTTTTCTTGATGAA